TGCACACATACGCTCGCACTCATGACATATGCAGATACCTATAAGTACACTCACAAAAATAAGCAGGCCACCATAACACAACAGGTACATACAGTACAGGGCAGACAGGAACGTGGCCGAAAAGTAGTTTATACCTGGAGATAGTAAAGGGCAAATCGATATTCACGTAGTGGCAGTCAGAAAAAATCGGATCCAAAGGATACAGAATCTCTACAATTACCGAACACATAGACGGACTGTGAACGAAAGAACAGGATTGAGAGGGATCTATCTCGAGTAAAAGTATATAGCACAGTACAGGTTACAGCCTGATCTTAGAAGCTTGTGTTACGTCAATCTGAATTCTATCAATAGCTACGGATAGTATTAGTCATCGTTAACTTGAAAAACCAGTATAAAAACGCGTGCAACTAGTGCTTTGCGGGTGTAACTTCGGAGTCCCATGAAACGGTAAATCTCGATGTATTATTTTACTAGACCAATTCAAATACAATAGTAGATTATCTGAGTTTCTACTTGATTCCGAAAAGATTACAGCCGTCTGCTGCCCGATGGCTCCTAATGCCTTATAGCCATTGGTATATATATCGGCAGAACGTGCCAATGATTCAATGGCTTGCCTAACGTAGATAACATACAAAAAGGCACGTAAATAACATGGACATTATTATGTGGCGATACGTATAAGGCACGTTCTTATATAACAGTGATTTATTTCGGTTTTGAAGATACTTCAACTCGAAGGTGAGCACCATTTCAATGATCTTGTAAAGAAACACGTTTGTCATTAGTATCCGTCATCTTCAGATTCTCACTCGTTCAACTCTTAAAGCCGTTTACCATTATATAATCAACAATGACCTTCTGACTGTCCCAAGAAAGCGATTTGCCACCATCTGATATCTCCGAGTAACGGTTACTTTCGTTTTGGCATTATTACAATTGCGCGTTGAAAATATACGCGTCATGAACTGCATTATAATTAGTCCATAAGAAGTTAATAAAAAAAAAAAAGTAATTTTACCTAGCAGAGAAAGTAACTAACTAATATTGCGCTTGGATGCTTAACACAAACATAGCTGGCCTAGAAAATTACTTGATAAAAATCTGACTCTCGTTTAGCCACAAAAAATACTTCATCCGGCCAGATCTTTTCGTTTCGTCAGCGTAGTTATCCATCAAGTCTGCTCAACCAGCACTTATCAACTGAAGACCCCGTAGAACTACTTATTGATTTCTCATGGAAAATAGAGCATTATCTATCATCCCAAAGTATATATATATATATATATATATATTTGTCATTAACAAAACGCTTCTCCCGACGTTTTCCGATATCTGAATAAATTGCCATATTCGAATCATATTATAATACGATAGATTGTAGTTGTGTCGCGCCGGCATCAAATCGATGGTAACCGAATGCTTGTGGGCGTAAGCGAGAACGACCGGCGCCAGTTTGGTGTGTCTATGTGTTTCCAATATAAATCCATGTTTGTCAATCGGCCCGGCCTCTCTCGACGTGTTCGACCTATTGGTTTATCCACCAGAGTCTGAAGGCATAGGAGAAGAAGCGAAGAATCGACAGTTTCTCGCGTGCGAAACACCATCGGATCGCCGTTGTGGCAGAAATCGTACGATGATTACGATAGAACTGGTAATAGGTTTGTATACTATAGTATTTCTGATCTGCCATAAGGTAACACTGACAGCACGAGTGACTATGATGGCCAGGCCCGCGGTCAAAGAGGCAGATGATGGGCGGAATGACTGAGTGAGTTGCTCCGTTATCGGCTGGTCAGCTGCAGGCAGAACAAAATGGAAGGAAACACTAAATACGAAAAAAACATCAGATAATTATACTGGTGGCGATGCCGGCCACTGTTGTAGTTATAATGGTAATAAGAATGAACTGACCAAGGTGCCGTGCTGGCGGTGCTAGTAGATTCATCATGATGGGTAGAAATATGGATGTGGTACGTTTGTGACGCTAAGCTAGCTTTGGCTGACTCGATGGGAACTAAAATAAGAGGCCAAGTATATGGAGTCGACTAATTGTGCTCGTACTTGCACGCCTGGAGCAACTGTAACTCTAGCTCATGTACGGCCTCGTAATACAACCTCGTGTCTCGATTACAAATAAATCAAAAATCGTTGCCTTTCGTCTGCGACGGTATCGTTTTCGTTAATTTAATGATGTTCTTACTGCCTACTGATCGTCCACAATCGGCTAGAAAACTCTTGCAGATCGTTCGTCGCTTTCCGCAGAGATGGATCAGCCACAGCCACGACAATGTGGGTTAGGACATTTTTGCATCCAGAAAAGGCTTTCTCTCTCCTTTCCATATTCGCTCCCTGCTCAGTGACGTGCCGGCGGACCGCAACACAGAGTCGAATGTACCCGCAACTAACGCGTAGAGGTTCCTTCAGTAACGTCCCAATAACAGCAAACAACTAATAGCGATTTTCCGTCGGTTCATCCAACGACGACGAAAGGCAGACCAGCGGAGGGTATTCTGCTGCTGCTGCTGCTGCTGCTGCTAGAAATGACGCCGATAGCAAAACGCGATTTAATGCGATTCACTGAATGATCTGTAGGCACGTTACAGCAGTGTGCTTGACACACATATTGCGCTTGTTTTCCCCAAACAGAGACATATTCGTGCAGATAGATGTCCCAAATCGCTTTCTTTCTCCTCCTTTATACATAGATAGATATATAATGGAGATGTGGGAGGTCGTCGTGCGTTTTTTCGCAGCTTTGTAAAGACACACGACGGCAGACAAAGTATCACAGCTATATCGATGGAGAAAACTTTACTTGTTGTTCATTACGTAGGGTTCGAAGACGCTCATCGTCGCGTAAGATGCAGGCGACTAATCTTGCGATCTAGCCAATGAAAATGCTGGTAGTGCCAGTAGCGGGGTCTGTCGGTTCCGTGGGCATGACCGATGTTGCTGTTGGTGATCCTATGTAAATGTCGTAAGGAAATAGTGGATCGTTTTCTGTATCAGACTGTCTGATCAACAACCCGTGGTCGATACTGGTCCCGGGAGATTTACAGGTTTGGCTGGTAAACTGCACAGCTCCTATTTCGATTAGTGTTGTAGTATTGAAATGGCAGCATCAGAAGTATGTCGCGAAAAGCCACAAAATAGATTATATGGATATGCAGAAAGGTATGGAGAATTAGACCTGCTATAATGAGACAATCGAGAATTTGTATTAAATTTACTTGTACTTCCGTGCTATCTATCAACTGATTTTGGCATCCATAATAAATAGCATGTCATAATATATTAAGGAAATAGTACTAGGGTGAGCAAGCCATTTACCTATTAGCAATATGCACTTAATGGGAAAAAAAAAAGTAAACGTGTGGAATACCGACGTTCGTATTAGGGCCAACCGACTTTTAACTGGGCATACGCAACCAACTGTTAAGAAGCTTTCTTTTTTTCGATAATAGCCGGGGTTCAACCCATCCGACAGGATAGTAAGTGGTCCAGTTATCGATTAACGGAGCGAGCTTTTAAGGTTTTTGATCAGTAACTTGAGGAAAAATAACCGACACACTTCTTGACAGCAACAAACATTCGCTCACAAACCTCGAGTACGAGAAGTAAGCTTATTTGAAAAACGAATAGTAATAATAAAAATAATAGTGAATTCAATTAAATGTGGCCACATAAAAAAAGCCCGGTTCGGTGACGGGGGTTTCGGTTTAGAGACTGAAACACGCAGAGAATAAGACAACTAAGATACTGTCGCTAGATAAACCTTTGAAGTCCATAAATGATAGGCATGCGCACTCACAGATCAGCGGCCCTGGCGCTGTATAGTGCTAGTATAGTATTCGTTCGTCCTGCATCAGGACGATGGTCCCTCCTATGGTGTGACACGAGCTACGATTCGTCGCCGACCTATCCTGTCAAAAAAACATAAAGTTCGATTTCAATGTTCATCAAATACGCACAAAGGTAGGTATTTTTCGTTTCGGTTTCGCTTCGCATAAAAAATGAGTCGATGACAGCCACCTGGGTCAGCTTATCTACCATTTGTGTTTCACTTTCTTAAGTTAAACTAAAACCTTACGTTATAGTTACTATTAACGTGTGTAGTTCCATTGTCGCACGGCAAACACGGCTTCGATCTTGTTTGCCGCTGTCGTTTTTTTGCTAGCCAAGATTAAACCAGTATAATCGGGTTTCAGTGATGAATTGTTTTCAACGGTAATATTAAACAGTCGGAAGTATACGTGTCTCCGGCCATTTACGTTGACTATGCCTCATCGTACTGTTTATAGCGACAACATGCACAGATAGTGTTAGATGACGACGTAATACGTTCGTGAGTGACTTGTAGCGTATCAGAATTTCTGCGGATACGAAACGAAGCTAGAACTATTTGTCTGAGCTGGCCCCGCAGTCACGTGACATCTTTGGAAATCTATGCAATACTTTCTACTTTTGCGAATCCAACGAATGCCATATGGGATAATAACAGTAGGCGGTAGACAGGCAACGATAGAAGAAGTTGGAGCACAGATGGCAGACCACGTTGAAACTACTCAAGTGAAATTGAAGTCTGCTCTGCAACATCTTGTCTCCTTTTTTTGGCTACGCTTGTTGTCTATGTGTTATAATGCTTTTTTTTTGGCAGTCCACATTGTTGTATGTTAGTCAGCGACATATAGTATGATGAACAGGGCCTTAGATTGCGCTCACTGAGATATACATGGCAAAAGCGAGGGAAGCGTGCACAGTTGGTGTTCGGTGGTAGAACAAGCGAATGTTCGTAAGAGATTTGCTATCCTGCTAATGTGGACATGCAAGATTTTTGACGACGCTGACAACGATAACAACGAAGGCAAGCTGACTCAATAATTATCGCCTCCTCTCACTGTTGTTGCCGCCTTGATCGTGACAGCTGCTGCAACGGCGGCGGCGGCGGCGGCCGCTGAAACGGCCGCAGCATTTCACAAAAGCTGTGGCCGCCATCGAAGTTGTCGTTGTCGCCAAAGACAAAAGAACGCTCACTCGCGCAGGCCACCAGACAAGAGGTGAACTTGAAGGCTGGGCAACGGTTGGCTTCAACGTAGATTTTGACAAAGACATCCCATTCGGCTTACCAACAACACTGCCAGCAACTACAACGTTAAGGTCAGTTACAAAACTGACAGTAGCTTTTTACGTTAGCTATCTAAAAACATCACTGGGCAAAAACGACGACAAAGATACATACACACTCCGGCGTCGTCAGACGGAAAACGTCTCTGGCCAGAGAAAGTCCTGCTGTGGCGACTCCTAATACTGCCGCTTCGATTGTTGTTGTTTCTAATTCTGTCTCTGCGGCTACTAGTTAATATGACGCTTACGCAGGCAGCGCCTTGAAAAATCCCTTGTTATTGTTATCGTTGTTGCTAATTGTGTTTATGTGAATATGAGAGTGCTGGAAAATTCACAGGGATGCTGTTCCTTGTATAATTAGCGATCGTCCAATCACATAGTTTCGACATTGTATAATATTGCCGCATTAATAAACAACATATCGACCGACAATCCGTACTTCGATCCATATTTCAACTGTTGGTAGTACAGAGATAGCGGATGCATCGTTTTCAACCCAAGTCATCTGGACGCATGCTGTTACCAGCAAAACTGTGAAAGTGACATTTACCAATTTCAACGAACAAGCCATTTGGAAACAAGTCGATTTCATTCAAAGTGGACCTTGAGCCTTTCCTGAAACGGAAACCCTTCATCTTGTTTATGTTCGAGAAGTGGAAAACCGATCTCGTTACCATGTTCCGCGTGTTACTAGGTAACTTACGTGTTACGTGAAAGTGGGAACGGAGCAACTCGATGCATCAAGATTTACCAATTTCGCGATTGTATTTTTAAAATCACTATATATTTATTGCTACGAGCGCAATTTTTCTACTAGTTATGACAATAACACGGTTATTACTCCATTAATTACTAACGGATAATTGTCAACAGGTCTGACTCGTGTCTATTCGTTCGTATCACTCAGCTCCGCTTACGTTTGCCGTTAGCATTTTAAACAAAGAAGGTCAGCCAACGTAATTTATCGGAAGCGGTTTTCAATTCGCTTTCTTTACCGTTGCAGGCATCAGGGGGTGGAGTCGGGCGGTGAAGTACGCGCAACGGTCGAACGGCGAACCAAAGGATCAGCCACCCATTAACTCGTCGTTCGGCTCGCACCGCAAGACAGGTCAGAACGATTACTGCTATTAGTACTATTACTGAATAGAAGCGTATGTTGGCTGGCTATGGACGGTTTTCTGTCTGAACCGCATCGATGTCATGGCGGCGACGAAGCTAGCAACAGCCGCAGGAGAGACCGAGGTCAGTGCTTTGATACGCTGAGATTTCGACGATTTGACGCTTCTTGCAACAGCGTTGATGACAGCGCCAGCTCGGAGCAATAGCCGCAGAAACACCAAACCGATGCAAATATTTATCCCTTCGTCGTCATTGACGACGAAAAGTCGGCGCTAACTTCGGCGGCATTTCGTCGCCGTTCTCTCCATCATCCCCTACTGCTTCTTCCTTTTTTTTTTCTATTATTTTTTTTGGGGCGTTAATTCATGTTACGTTCACGCATGGCGCAGTCTCACACAGAAAAGAGATTTGTGTGTATGACGGTGACGCGGTGTTGGCGGACGGCGACTAGACAAAAAAAAACACAAACATCGAGATTAACTCACAAATAGAAGAGTGTACGAATGTTTATATAATATACTGATATGCACAACCGACATACTATAAATATGGGAAAATTAACGGACAGACAGAAATAGTCACGCAGACCCAGATCCAAGCGGCTGGGGATATGGTGGCATTTATCAATATATTCACTGCGTGAACACACAGGCATACGTTGTCATGTAACGCATATTCAATGGTGGACCATACGTGCAGAAGCGGACGTGCATTGAACTGATCCAATTTAACGGACAAGAAAATTTGGTGGCGCTCCGCACCGTTGATTCACTACCACTCGATCCTCTCCTGGTCCTTCCTATTCATGTGCTGCCATCGATTGAAATCGTTCGTTCTTAGCATTTAGCGTCCCCCTTTTAATCAATCGTGTGGCCACTCGTTTCCCTGACCGTTCTCTTACGCTGGTGATAGCAGCAGTGCCGCGGTGGCCCCGACGTCAACGTGCTAGTAGTATCCACGGTGGCAGAATCGCTCCCGCGGTTGTTCATACTGTAGGTGGTGATGGTTCTAATAATTATTTTATTTTCAAATCGGCTGTTATTTCGCCGTCTAAATCGCTGTTACGGTACGGATGCGACTGTGGCGTATCTGCGAGCACCAGCATTTTCGACGGCTGTCCTTTTCTCTTTCCGCTACTGTTGCCTGCGGTAGCGTCGTTATTCACGTACGGACTGCGGTCGAGTTGATGAGATTTAGAAGATGCGTACGCTGTCCCACGACGACGGCCGCTGTGACACAACCACCACGAACTACCAAGAGCAAAACACTAATTTCCTTTCAGTCAAATAGTTGATTCGCAGTAGCAGCTATATAGTCGTAACAGCGGCTGTTGTCGCTCTAGTCATAGTTGAATTATGAGTACCGGGATCTGTTCCGTCTTGCGATTGGTGAAGCTAACGATTTGAAACGGCCGCGGCGGCGGCGGCGGCGGTGGCGGCGGCGGCGGCGACGGCGGCGGCGGCGCTGGCGGCAGTGAAGCTAGGGGCGGTTTCGCAAATCAGTCTTGCAAAGGCGGGCGTCGTCGCGAGTCGTTCAACTCAACAAGTGCCGCCATTCCCAGCGCTGACGTTCGCACCAACCAGCAGAAGTCGACGAAGACGAAATCTATGAAATGAATGAAAAACAGACCGGAAACAGTTGGGGATAACTAGGAGGGAGAGACTGGCCATATAAGCAGTTAGGCAACACTGAATCGGAAAAGCGTTTGTAAAAACAACAATATATTAAGTGCAGCAAATACAGTTAAAATGAATTTCTCACGGTTTTTGCCGTTCTCATGATTGATGCAGTCTTTTGTTAACACTAGAAAGAAACAAGTGAGCCAAACATACCAACATCGTGCAGCAACCTCGGCTTCATAGATTATAGATGATGATCCGTAATGATCATGTGTGCCAAGAGGCACTTATGTGTGGCGTCAAAAAAACACAACAAGAAATGTAAAGCTTTCTCTTCGTGCGGAGGCGGTAGCGAAGGCGGGCTATCTGAAGTCAGCGTTGATGCCTTCAAAGGCGCTGCCCAAGCCAAGAAAAACCCTAAGAGTCATCCAGTCGCTTTGAACGTCGTCGACTGCTGCTCCTATGGTATGAATCCAGCTCTTCCGAGCGCCGCATACCTTGGGTAAAGTCATTATTCCACTTTCATTTCAACCAGCCAACCTGCAATACTTTTCCCAAAGCTGGGTAAGTCAATGACGACGGTTTTAGTTGCTGCGCTAAACTGCACCATTAACAGGGCGAAATTGAGTAAAGGTAAAATACAATATAGAGAATATATGACGAGCTGTATGGAAGCACTTGTATCGTATTCGACAGCCGTGTAAAGCTTTGACAATTAATGAAACCGATCGTCTCGACAAAGCATCAATCCGTTTGAGCTTCGAATTTGTGGCCACTGTTGGCGCACGGCCTGATTGACATCAACCGGAGATAATTGAAAAGAGATGACTCTGGGTGGACGGATTGGCTTTGCACACGGCTCCGAATAGTCACTGAACCTATGGCAAACCAAGGCAAAGCTGACCGGACTCTGCCAGAAGACGTTTGACAAGAGACGAGGGGCGCTATATAAGAAAGAGTTAGGTTGAGTCGGCTGCAAAGTGCTAGATGAAACAGTTTTGTCAGAAAAACAAAAAACTACGTAAGGTAAAAAGAAGTAGAATCAAATCCCATTTCTTCTGCTCAAACTATTACTAATTCGCAATTTGTTTCTGTTTGATGTTTGCTGTCAAGACGTAGACGGAACGAGAGTAGGAGCGGCCAGTAAGTAAGACGTATATTTGCGAAGCTGAAAAGGATCATGTCAGAACGAGATGAGTTGTCTTGCCCGCGTGCTGCGTGTGCCTAAAGATACATGTGTATTTGTTAGCATGAGTTTCAACCGTACTGATTTCGCGACGGGGAACGTTGGCGTACTATAGTGCTCAAACACGGCCGTGCTTCGTTGTAATATCTGTTGGTCTCGGAGTCTAGCTTGTCAGCAGTTAGTTAAAAAATTGGCCCGCCACCAATCGAGAATGCCTCAGTGCGTTAACAGCTTCCGTCAGAAACACACCTGCATACTACGCAATGGCATATCTATCTCCGTCTCTTCTATTGATCCATCGACAATACTCACGTCCGCGTCGGCTTATCGCGTCTCTTCTTTGCTTATCTTTACACGCCAATGCCGAGTCAAATCGTCTTCTCTGCGCTTATTCCAGAACAGTGAAGCGTCGGAGGCATTTGAGCGCCGGCTACCGCGGCTTCTATAATGTTACTATGTTCCTGCCATTATAACTAAAACCATTATTCAACTGAATCCTTTGATGGCGCCGTTATAGCTTCGGCTGCCGTTACTGCTGGCTATGCTTCTTCGGAAAATTACATGTACTATACACAATATATAGAGAATTATAGTACAAGCAATAGTTGCGTTTGTTTGTGGTCATCTTCCGATGTATCTGCTGCTAGCGGCCAGCGGCGTTCGCTTGCAGAACGCCGCCGCCGCCGCCGCCGCCGCCGCCGCCATCGATGTCTGTCCAAAAAGGACAGCAGTAGCAGTCACCGGCCCGTCATCAATCATATTCTACTCGGCCTGCTCCGACAATACGAGCACTGCGTGTCTGTGCGTCAGGAAGAAAACGCTTCGGGCAGATTTTTACCGTGGTCACCGCCGCCACACTTATTATTGCTGCTGAGTACGGTGATGATATCGGCACACACATCGGATACACAGGTAGACATGCAACCACGCACACACACACGCACACACAAGAGTAAAGTCGCCTCTATTTGTTTGTGTATGTGTAAAGATATTTCTTTGGACAGCGAATGGCAAAGAGCAGCGAGCAACGCCAACAAACAATAACAACATGGACAATATCACCTCTGTTGGCCTGAACGACTCGACCATGCTGATCTAACAAAGATGTCTGCGAGAAAGGGGTAGACAGAGCCGCGGTGATGCTACTGCTAGTTCTATGATTTCTCCAGTTACATATTTCATGGTACTACCTACTGCGCTCTCCAGTCATCTCCTTTGTTGCAGAAGTCCATTGGCTGGCTGATCATCACTTATAGTTGTCCTCATGATTTAATTCCATCCACTGTCCCGCCAAAATGGCAAGACAGGAAGAATGTCCCATAAACAATTGAGGCGCGAACACAAAATCCTACCAAGTCGACAAAAAAACGAGACGAGGATCTGTCCGTCCCGAGTTGCCTGGTCAGCTTGCCAATCTCGGCCCAGTAAATGAGCAAAAAAACAACACGTCGTAGTTACTACCGACAGCGGTGGTAACCATAATAGAAACGAAATCTTAAATCTAAGCTTACCTAATGAATAACGTCGATAGCAGCGGCGCTGATGATCATTTGTGTAAGAAAAACAAGGACTAAATGTACACGAGTGTGTACACTTTTTATCCATTTGTTGTCGCTCGTTAACGAATTTGTTCTGCGCACTCGTCGAATGAAGGAGACGATCAAACAAAGAGAACGAAAGAAACAGATCGGAAAATTACTGAGCAAGATTCTGAGTTGTAATAGCAACATCAGCGGACAGGAATCTGTTGTGGTTTGCTTGTCGTACCTTTCGATTCGAGTTAGATCTGCGGCTAACCCTTTACAGCTTCGATGTCCCAATCTTCATCATGTGCTCATACGTATAATAATCACACATAGGAAAAATACAGATGGGGCAACCAGATACTTAGACAATGGAGGGACCAGCCAGCCTTCATAATTTCACAAGTCAACATTGGCAGTCGCTCGTTGCTTGACTCCGTGAACCGCCCCCATATTATTTCACTCCTTACCACCAGTTCCCCCGCCCCTAATATAGCCACCGGTGAACACACAAGCGCCACAGCAGACTCGCGGCAATTTTTACCAATGCGATTTCTGCCTAGAAGGAAAGACCTGTTCTGTTTGTCCTATTTATTAACACACAGAGCACCCAAATATTTCGACTCTAGCGCTTCAATTCTATGTTTCTTGCAGGCTTGCTTATTTTACTGGCGCAACAAACGTCTGCCAGCAAAGCACCCTGAAATCCATTCTGCTCCCAGTCTTCGTACTTCGTCTTCGGCTTTTCGCTTGCTTCGATCTTCGTTCGCGTCTTTACCGTGTCCCACTTCTGCCACTGATTTCTATATCTGATTCTGCTGCCGCTACTGGTGGTCCGCACTGGGCGAATGTCGCCGAGCTTCGCCGAGAAGCCGCGGGTGTACAGCGCTATGAGGACAATTAGATGATGCCTTTCCTGAAAATAAACGAAAAGAAGCGGATCGCATCTGGAAATCGAACGAGTGCAATAACGAGCAGAATACCATGGCTTCCGCGATCGGGCATTAACTAAGTAGCAAAACAAATAAAAAAAAAAAAAAGGTTGGTGAATTAAGAGGCCAATCGCAGACTGAAAATTGTGCGGTTTTTATTGTTGTCTGTATCTCTGCGTAATTACTGTTCTGATATATTAAGCCTGAATGTTAGACGCTGATGAATGATTTGGGCATTGAAGAAAATCTGTTCAGAAATTGTTAAAATACAAGCAGACATATGGGCAAAGACGGCTGTCTCCACTTCATTCATGTGATAACACGTTGTACAATACAGGCCATTCGCCCCTTTTGCCTATAAACCACAAGGCTCATGGACTGAACCATCATCCTGTCTTGCATATGGCTTTTAGTGGACGTGCATTAATGATTTTCGTGTCTCACACTTGGTCCTTAAACCGCAGTACGAAAAGCAGCGCGTCTCCAAACCTGAACCACCTCATGTGTTCTTAGGTTTAGTAGGCGGGTACGTTACCGTGGCACCGTAACGGAAACGTCGTACACGTGTATATTAGACTTAACACCATCCCCAATCTAACTGGAAACGAATCTAGATCTGCTAAATCCAAAATTTAGATTTGTCCTCGTTGTTCGGTCTTGTTTCTGCGCCACCTTCGTTACAGGTTTACAGCCATTTTTCCTGTTTGGTTATAGTTTTCCCGCTAAACTTTTGTTCTTGGTAGTCCCACTGAATCGCACGAGTTTTCCTGTTACCCCGTCGCTTTGTCTGGACAATTTAGTCACATTGTTTTAATCATTACATTATGATGCTGCGGTTTATGTACTTTTATATCGAGCTCTGCGACTCTGAAGCAAAGGTATCCGCTCTTATGTCAGTTATCACATGCTCTTGTCACTCCCATTCCCCGTGACTACCTAGGAGCAATTCCGCCGACTCAAGGTGATCCCTTCATTTAAGGCCTTAATGTCCTGTGCACAAACTTGGCCACTCGAGAAATCGATTAAGCGACCGAATTGAAACCGCCGATGTTTTTCGGAAACTGTTATTCGTTACCTTAATGCAGTCACATAGAATACGACGTTTGACTCAATAGCAGAAAACAGAACATAAAAATAGTATTTTTTCAGCGAATTCAATCTTCCGTACGAGTTTCCATAGTATAGAACCCGAAGCGGTAAACTACTATGGTGTTCATATATTCTTTAAATTCTCAGCCATTGTTGAAAAAAACTGCTCAAAAACCTAATTCTGCCCCAGTTTACACTAGAATTAACTATTTTTATGAATTAGAAGACATCGTTTCTAGCCTAGAGGTTTCTCGTCAAGCCTAACCAATGCATAAAAGAAAACAATAATCGTCACGAGCGTTTTACATGTAGTAAAAACACCGAGAACAGTTCACAGTAGTTCCCTCTAACCTTCTTAAGGGTATGTACACAATATTTTTATATATATATATATATATATGATAATGTAATATATGTACGCTAATTGATATATGGCATATATATTGCGTAGTCACCCACACACTATATAATACGCAACGTATTCAAACAGATCGCTGTTGTTTTAACCCGATTTCTTGTATATTCTGATTCTCTACGTGGGCAGAATGTTCGATTGTTGTTGTTATTGTTATTGTTAAAATCGTTAACGGACGGCGTTGGTGATTTATTCGATTCCTCGGAGATCTTCGGCGATCTATCTGTATCAATGTACCACTGTATTTAGCTACCTTCCCTTTAATCGCCTGTGACGGTGCTTGGCGATATTTTCGCTGTTTACGTTGGTCCTGATATTGCAAAGGAATATTTCTGCTGTCTGGAGAATTAGTCCAGTCTCGTCGTTGGCAGAAATGTCATCTAATCTTCTGACCCTGCCGTTGACGCCGAAGTCGACGTTGCACTCCGTCGTGGCTAGAGACTTTGCCTCGTATAGCATTTGCGGTCGTTGTACGCCTATTGGCTGTTACACTACGAGTATTTTCTTTTCATTCGGTCCTCTTCGTTTCCCCTCCTTCCCAAGCCTGCCGCCTTCGAATTGATTCGGTTTCATATCTAATCTGTCCCGGGTGTAACTTACCTGATCGGATGAACAGTTGTCGGCCGGAAGACCCAGCTTACAGAACCATCTTCATCACAACTCTGCTCTGTTGTTGCACGTACAATTTTTATAGTATGTAACTACAGTATGTATTAGTAGTACGTGCACAGGACGATGCCACGATACGAGTTTATAGATGCTTTCAGCCCTACGTCCGGTTGGGGTTATAGATATAGGACTGCTTCACCTCAGCTTCCAGCCAACGCTAAACTGTCCTAAGGTTGTAGTCCTTTATCGATTTACGTAATAATCTGTTCCCACGCTACAGGCCGGCAGTCCTATATGTTGCCGTTTCTGCCGCACACATTACAAAGGACTAGCTAGCTAGTCAGATCATACTGAGTTAAACACCAATCAGTGCATGTAGTATAGAATGACAAATACGAGCGGCAGAAATGAACGGAAACTAGTTATAGACTGAATGTTCGAACAATTGCATGTTCCGTTAAAGCTGGGCAGTGCGGCGGCGTTCGCAGTGATAACAAGCAGAAGTAGAAAAAACATCAACATCAAAAAACAACAAACGCACAACCGTTGCTATGATAACAGCGGGCGATGACTGACTTTAACGATGGTTCAACTAATGTTATTTTGCTGTGTATGTTTGTTTCGTAGAGATTATCACGTATGCGACGGTTGGTTTTTAGTCTGTGTGTCGATTCTGGCTGCCAACTGCTTAGCCGAGCCCCTATGAACTGAGCGACGCAATCCTGCCCATAACATAGCGTTACCTTCGTTCGATCGTTCCCTAGAAGAAAAGAGAACTTTCGACGAAAGACGCCAGCTAGCAAAGTACGATGAAAGGATAAGCGGCTGCGATACGGGTGCAGCCGTTAGGTAGTAGAAACGGTTGATGAAGATGGGGATGATGATGACGTTGTCGTAAGCGAGCCACCGCGAGAAGACCCGAATCGAAGTGACATGTGCTCGATGTGCAACAATTGTGAACGGCAGTAAGCGTAGGCTCCAACGGATCAAGCCAGCAGGTACACGTGGCCTGGACCTGCTGCCGGTATCTCGATACCTAACGGGCTCCGTTGCTGTTTGGTGAATAGACTAGATTTGCTTGTGTCTAGATTTGCGTCGGCACACATTATATGCGGCTTGCGCGACAAGAAAAGAAGTCAGTGACGCCCGATGACGGTCGCGCGGGACGAAAGCTGGCGCGACATCAGACCAGTTTAGCCGTTGCCATCCAACACACTGAACACGGTACTGCATGCAGATCCATTCGTTTGATCTCATCGTTAAATTCACGATCTCCGAATGATATTCGTACGGGGCGATAGAAGAGAACAATCTGACAGATGGATTCCCTCTGACGTTACATAGTGATAGATTCTGAGCAGGATCTTTGCTGCGGCTCTTAATGCTGTTGCCTCTTCAATTGCCATCGGTTGCAGGAGCAGCAACAGCAGCAGCAGCAGCAGCAACAGTCACCGACCGAATAACGAACGAACTCAGTGAAACATAAAGTATGCGCGCCAAGTAGATCTGTCTATCTATTCAGTGGCGGCCGAGTCCTTTCCATAGTCAGGAAACGCAACGGATAGACACAACGGCAATACGCGTCGACATGTGACGCTGCCAGTTCTGCCAGACAGGTCCCGCGCGCGAAAAGCACAACTTTCCGTCCACGGTAAGTCGCCGTTATCTCTTATGGTGCAAAACAAGTGGCTGTCCAGGCGAAAGCCAGCACCGAGAACAAAATGGCTTAGCCGTCTGTTGTTGTTCTGATTTGTAAATGTCGCATGTCGGGTTTGGTCTTGCGTCCACACTCGGTCTGTCGCTCGGCTCGTATTTTTAATAGACGGAAAACCATTGGGCAAAACGGCAGAAGGTATATCCAATACAATGTCGCTACTTTGGTGTCCGTTGATGATTGTCGGCCGTCCGTTCCAATTAGGAAAAAATGGTCCAGGTTCGTTTTTAACGGCGATAATTATAAGATAGGCCTAGAAGGGCATAGGACAGAGGATGTCTAACAGAATCACGAAAACTATATTTCTGTTAGGTCATAGGCAGCAGTAAATTTTCTAGGTAGGGCTTTTCGACGATGTGTTTACATCAAATTGCAGCCAAAGGTAGCAAATTCATAGGTATGCTCCATTTTTACGATGATGAATGTGGATGCGATTGCCTATTGTATGAGGTAATATAAATATAATATTATATAATAACTACACCTATATACACTTGAGAGGTCATTGAAATTCACCAATAATCTTGCATGATATAATATACTCACTTTAGCTTCAGGCACGACTGTTTTCACTGTTATTTAGATTACTACAAGACGCCAGCTTAGTCGCTCACAATAAGCTTAAAGATCGACACCCAACCTCATCGTTTTTAAAACTGCCTTGCCACCTTTTTTCCCCGTCTCGATAAATAAATCTTATTTAACAAAATCTGTTAAGCTTAAGGTAACTTCTTAGCCTTATCCGGATTGGCTAATCCTAGCCTGTACTATAGCCAGGTCTTTCCTCTTCATGACTGCGCAACATATCTGACGATCCAGCGATCCTTAGGTGCATCGATCCGTGTAAGTGATGCTCCCAAAACGGGCAAACAATCTGAATGGCATAGAATACGTTACCCTGGCTGCTGGGCAGGCCACGCAGCCTTCGACGTAAGCCCACTTGTCACCACTATGCTATCGATACACTTTTCCTTTCAGTAACAGCGAAGCAACGTTCTCAGCGCTTCGTAAAAACCACTTGCGCGCGGTTGAAAGGCGCGATTCGACAAGTGAAACTGCTGAAGGACGAAAACTGGGTGAAATTAGCCGGATACTAAATAGCACTAGCGGTGAAGCACCGTTGTTGCCGTCTACGACGCAGACGATTACGTCAGTAGGAAAGCTGTACTCCGTCGCGCTCCGATGAGCTCTAGAGCATTTAATTTCGCATAAAGTCGAAAATAAACACGTAAAAGCTGTTGGTATTATAGCAAGTTCAAACCAACCCTTCCTTTTGGCTGTCG